GTAAAGAACTCTTGAAACTCAAGAAAACAAACAACCCAAATTTAAAAATAGGCAAAACGTTTGAACACTTAACCTACGATAACTTCTTTATCTTAGAGAAGATATTCAGGTGAAAAATAAGCACTTTAAAAGATGCTTAACATTATAAGGAGGATGCAGATGAAAACTTCAATGAGATACCTTTATATGCCCATTAGAATACCTACATTTGAGACACTGACCATGCCAAGTCAGCCACAGGTGGGGATGTGGAGCAACTGGAACCCTCCACATTCACTGCCAGTGGGAATGTGAAACGGTGCAAATATATACCTATCCTGTGATATAGTCATTCTATCCCTAAGTTATTACTCAAGAGTAATGGAAGTATTCTTCCATATAAAACTTTGAGATGTATGTTCTTAGCAGCTTTATTTGTGATAGTTAAAAACTGAAAGCCACTCAAATATTCACCAATAGCTCAATGGTTAAAAAAATAGTGGTATACCCACACAATGGAATATTACTAAGAAATGAAAAGGAATTAACTATGGTTATACACAAAATAACATGGATCAATCTCAAAATAATTATTGTGAGTGAAAGAAAACAGAAAAACAGTACATACTATATTATTTAAGTTGTATAAAATTCTAGAAAATGCAAAGTTATTTATAATGACAGAAAGGTAATCTGTGGTTACCTGGGGGTAGAAAGAGTTGGGAGCAAGGGATTGAAAATGAGAAAGAGACTACTTTGGAGGACCATGGATATGTTTGTTGTTTTGATTGTGGTGACAGTTTCATGAAAATCAAAACTTACCAGTTGTTTGCTTTAGACATGGACAGGTTATTGTATTCCAAATACCTCAATTTAAAAAAAAAAAAAAGCAATAAAGAATGCATTGTGGTTGTTATAATGTTAATGGCCCTCAAGACGTGATTTTGGCATTCCTTGGTCAATCTTAAAAGTGAGTTTTTGATTGATAAAAGAGGTAATGTGGATTTACATTCTTAGTTGTGACTATGTTGACCAGCATTAGCTATAAGAGGATAGGTGTGAAGAAATGCTATCACTGGACATCGGTGGTGTTAATATGATTAATACTGAGCCTTGGATGAAACTCAGTAATTAACACATTTCAGACTCAGTCCTTTTACAATTTGTCCTCAAATTTTTGGATCATAAAACTGACATCTGAACATTGTGTTCCAAGATACTCATTCACACTTCTAGTTACTTGGTAAATATAGCCATAGACATCTTTTATTTTAACAAGAGAGAAATCTATTTTTTAAGGAAAATGTCTGATCCTTCATTAAGAGTAAAATAAGGTGAAATCCCACCCTTGTATTTTAATTTGTATTAGTGAATGCATTTCATCTAAGGACTTCTCAAAATCCTTTTATGTCCAAAGGCTGTGATATACCATCTTCCTTTTTTAATAGTGGAAGAAAATAAATAATTTAGTGACTTCCAGGAATGGCAAACCAATTTTGTGACTGCAAATCTCTATATGTATATGCTTTGGAGTGTGTGTGTGTGCGTGCACACACACACATGTGGAAATGTAGGCATGGCAGTTAGTCAGGCAAGGGGAAAAATAAAACTGAAAAACTTCCTTGATTTTATTGCTTATTGAATTATGTTCTCTTTTTAGTGACCTTAGTTTGATGTTCCCCAAAAAGGCCAGATACTTTCCCCAAAAAATTATGTAATGGGCAAATCACAAAGACTGCGAGAATGGCACATGACCAGAGAAGAAAAAACATCTTGCATGACAATCCATCCCCAACTTCTTACCTTTCAAGATCATCCTCTGCTTTAGGGTTTGATTACCGTTAAGAACACCTATAGAACTGCTTTTGGTTCACATAGATTTAACACGTACTGAGCATCTACTATGCCACATGCATTTTGCCAAACTGTTGGTGTACATTTAATGATTACCACAACACTGAGAGATGGGTATGAAAACTAGATTTGCTTGGGTTGAACATCTTCTCTATGGTCAATTGGGTAGAAAGTAAAGGAGTCCAGATATGAAACTGGGTTATTCAAGGCAGACAGTCTAGGGTTCTTCTACATTTAGCTGTGGAGCCTTGGGCAAGTTACCAACATGGTGTCCTTATCTTTAAGAGATAACTATAAAGTTTATATTTTAGGGAAATTGAATTACAGGTCTCACAACACATTATGGATCCTTAGTAAATGCTGTTTCCCCTGCTTCCCATCCCCTTCTGATTCTAGAGTCTTTGCTCTTCCTAGTATATTGGTCTAAACCAGATGATCCCTTCTGGCTGTTGGCTATGCATTTATCCCCTCAGTACAGATTTGCTTAATAAAGATCTGCATTCTCCAAAGGACTGGGAGTCTTTTGAGGACAGAGACCCTTTCATTATCTCCATTCCTCCAATGGCAGCACAGGGTCCAGTGGATGCCTGTAAATTGAATGGACAGGTCTCATGGCAGTGAAGAGGTGCCTCACGGAGCCTGCAGAACATCTTTTTTTGTGTGTGTGACCTGTATCCCTCACCGCAGCTCACACCTTTCTACTCTTAGTTTCCATCCCAGAGACCACTTAGTTCCCTGTCACATATCTTTTCTCTGACTTGCAGAGCTCCAGTTTACCTGAGTGGCAGCTCATGGCACTGTCTGCCATGAGAGTTCCACAAAACTGTCCACGGTGTCTATAATGTGCTGGTGTCCTGCACTGACAGATGTGCTCACACTTGGCCAGGTATCCAACCCTCAGAGCCCTCCTTGTCTGTTCCTTAAAGTCATGTTGACAATTGACTCTGTCTGAGAGACCAAAATAGATGGTCCTTTATCAGCTAAGATGAACCCTAAGGTTAGAAAACAGTAACATCTGGGTTGGCGGTTCAGGGTCCAGCTGGCATGGCAGATTTCTAAATTCCTACAGGAAAAACCGCACTCCTACTAGACTCTCTAACAATAAGAGCTACCAGGCAAATTGTCCTAACTTTGATTTACAACCCAGACCACTAAAACTCTGGTTAGACAGAGGATTTGTCTCACAAACATTGCTTTCTGATAAGCTACTGCAGACTTAAGCCAGTATCAGCTGGCTTATGAAGTCTGCACACAAACTGTCTTTGTGTCCTATCGTTCATCTTTTGATGTAAAGAGCCAAATTCCACCTCATTTTAATGCTAAAATCCTGCGCCAAAGTGAACATAGAATGTATATTGCAAGTGTGTTTGCCCACTGCGAATATGCTCAGCTCTTCTCATAAATATGTATGATGTTTCTCCCAAATCTGCTGAATATGTATGACTGCATTGTGTACTATGGGCCCTGTGAGGAATAAAACCAACCTGGCCTTCCCCTCTTGGAAAAGAGAGCCCCTTCAGCACACACCGGACAGTATCTCTTCCCAGTTTGCAAACCGATATTGGCTGCCAATAAAGTTCTCCTTTCCACTGTTTAGTCATCCTGGTGGTCTTATGGATAGCAGTGTCAACCCAGTTTATAATGCTATCTTTATTCATTCAATCAATGAGCACACATCACTGTGTTTATAATAGTTTTTTGTTGTTGTTGTTGTGGTTGCTTTTACTTTTCCTCATTTTCTTCCTATTCTGTTATCTAGTACCTATTCCTCTAATGACAGATTGGCATTTCGCTTCTAACTACCAGATATCAGCCGTATTCTACAGGACCCAATTGTTTTACATATTTCCATTGAGAATATTTAAGATTAACTTTTGTCCCATGGCCTACCACTATGCAGAGTTCTTTGGTGAATTAACGTTGCAGCTGAAATTTCGACATCAATCAGGTTATCACCCTTTAAATATTTTATCTGTCTTGAGTTTGAGGAAACTTTGAGTATTCCAGCATAACTGTTTCTGGACAGATGCCCTCCTCCCTCCCGGTTGCTGTACTTGGCAGTTTGCTTATGCAGTGTCCATAGGCTAAGTTATATGCCTTATTTAGACAAAAGTTTAACAGGAATACAGAGGATAGAGAATTCAGGGCAGAGCTGGAGAACTGTTTCTTGACTCCTTTCACAATGTCTTTTATAGTATAAGGATTTACATGAATTTCACGCTTTCTATGAGCCTCCTGACTACTTTTACAGTTTTTATACAGTGAGCCCAGAGTTTTCCCATCATAATGGGCTCATGATCCTGTCCCTATGGTAAGTTTCTGTAGCCTGGTGATTGGGTAAGTGTTGTAAAGATAGACAAGAGCACTGTGTTTTCTCTGGCTTTTTAGGCAGACATCTGATTTCCTGGTTGGCACTTGTTTCAACCATGAAATGGGAAAGATTGGGCATTTTGTACTCCTAATTTAAAATGATTGTCCATGAGCATCTCTCAAAGTGGCTCAGAGTTTATTAGGGCCCTCTGTAGAGTTCTTAAGGGGGATGGAACTCGTTTGGAACATGTGTTGATATGACTTCTTCTCTGATTATGTTGGAATGGCTGTGACATTTGATTTTCAGGGAAAGAGTATGAAGGAGGGTTATATCTTTGCAGGCAAAATATTTTCTACTCTAACAGGCAAAAAAAGAATATTTGAAAGGTTTTTCTTCTTTCTGTAAATGAATAGATAAAATAATTTACCCTAGGAGAGCTTTTTATTGCATAAGAAGTCAATTCAATATCCGGTCAAATGGAGATATTGACCTGATACTACACTGATTTCCCATGAAACATGGGAAGTGCTTTGACCCCTGGCCCAGCCTCTTCTCATTCCCCTATATCATCTCTTCTGTTTGTGTAGATCTGTGCGCATGTTTGTTTGAGAGATATCTATCTCCAAAATTCAAATAAAGTATTTGTGAATGTAATTAATACTCTATAAACTATTTAATATGGTCCTGCTGAAAATCATTTTCTTATGTAAAGAATATCTTAATTTAACCTTATGTTATGGATTTGGGTGTTTTTCATATACCAAGATTATTTAGTGCAGTCCTTTGGAATTTGAGATTATTTATTTAATGTCTTACCTTTTGCTGTGACAGTCACACTTTTTCTTTTTTCTCTTAGGGGTCATCACTGCCGCAGACATTCTTGATCGGGAGACAACGGGATCATACTGGCTAACAGTGTATGCCACAGACAGGGGTGTTGTTCCACTCTGCTCCACCATTGAGGTCTACATTGAAGTTGAAGATGTGAATGACAATGCCCCGCTGACCTCCGAACCTATATATTATCCTGTTGTCATGGAAAACTCTCCAAAAGACATATCTGTCATTCAGATCCAGGCTGAAGATCCTGACTCTAGTTCCAATGAAAAACTGACATACAGGATTACAAGTGGAAATCCTCAGAATTTTTTTGCCATCAATATCAAAACAGGTAAGGGAATGTTTGTATGACTTCCTTTTAGTTTGTAGTCCAGCTTTTAAATTCATCAGCCTGACCCTTGCTGTGCTCATTTACTTTATTTACTAAAGAATAGCCTCTTCCTTTCTGAGAATAGTTTCTGAAAAGGTGAGTGCCACTTCTGTCTCTTTGGTATGTTTTAATTTCACTTGACATTGAGTGGGAGTTAGCTAATCAAAATCAGATTTTCACAGAAGGCCTTAGATTTGCTTTACTCATAATAATAAAATGTGGTTCCTAGTCCACTCAGAAAGCCAGCTGCTTCCTTCTCTTTCTTGAAAAAGAGTAGCCTGGCCTCTGCTGGATTCTATGGGCAAGCTGGCTTTGTGATGCCCCTACCTCTAGACACTTCTCCCTTGCTGATCTCCTTAAAACCTTCACCTTAAATTCCAGATGTTTTTGCGATTCCTGTACTACCCATCAAGGAAGCATCCATATTTAAAAGAACTTCCAGTGTCTCAATTTTTACATAAAATATGTATAACTTCAATTTTCTGGTCTTTTGCTCAAAACGTTTTTAGAGATTGTAATGAAAACTTAATTGGTTGAGTAAGGATAAGAAAGGCCTAAGGATCAGTAGCAGGTGTGCATTTGGCTGAATGCATTCTGAGACAGGTATGCACATTGGAAAAGTTCTTTGCAGATCTGAGAGGTTCATTGCTTTCTTGTGATTTGCCTCCTTTAGGTCTGAACAAAGGAGTAAAATAGAGTTGTGATGGATGGGGTTTTAATTCATTGAAATTTAGAATAATTTAAATTAATTTCACCCTGGGCAAGTGAGTTGATACTGGTCAAAAAGTTAGGCTCAGTTGAGATTTGTTGGTGTGGACAAACTCAGCTCTCCTAATGAACTACTAATCTAGTTGATGGTTGTTTCTCCTGCCTATGTTTGTTAAACAGAAACATGTAGCTGACCTCAAGTATTTTATAAATGTCAGATTCCCATTAAGATAATGAAAGAGAATGTCAGGGTTTAAGAAAAAAATTATTGATTTTTCTCTAATTATGAGTGGATCAATCATTTCGTTAAGCAGACTTTTGCATTCTAACAGTGTTGAATCGGGATTTGACTTGTATTTTAAGACAAAGAGAGTATTAACTATCAGTATCTGTTGAGGCCTGCTTGTACCTGCAGGAGAGGACTCAGATTTGGAGCCTTGGCCCAACCTTTCAGAGCCCCATTAAGTGGATAAAATTCACCATGCATCTGGGGAACAGGCCTCCAACTTTCCCTGGAAGCCCTCCTGATTTACTTTTTGGTATGACAAAGAGCTTCTTAGAACAGAGAACTGAATTCAATCACTTTGCAAATTTAAGAATGAGGGTTGGGGTGGAGGGAGAGAGAGAACAAAAACAAAAACAATGTCACAGGAAAGAAGTTGAGGCCACGGATATCTTCACATTTCACAACTCAGTGGAGTCTGAAATACCCTAGTCAGATTCTGCTTCTTCCATCTTGATCCCATTGCTACTTGAGTCATTAATGGTGGGCCCAGCACCCTTTTTTTTTTAAAGAAACTGCAAAAGGGAAGTTTTCACTGTTCTCTTCCTTTACTTAGGACTGAATAGAAAAAATAGCTGTGGCTCACGCCTGTAATCCCAGCACTTTGGGAGGCCGAGGCGGGCGGATCATAAGGTCAGGAGATCCAGACCATCCTGGCTAACACGGTGAAACCCCATCTCTACTAAAAATACAAAAAATTAGCCGGGTGTGGTGGCGGGTGCCTGTAGTCCCAGCTACTCTGGAGGCTGAGGCAGGAGAATGGCATGAACCCGAGAGGCGGAACTTGCAGTGAGCCGAGAACGAGCCACTGCACTCCAGCCTGGGCAGCAGAGCAAGACTCCGTCTCAAAAAAAAAAAAAAAAGAAAAAAGAAAAAAAGAAAAAATAACTGTCACAGGGAAGAGGGAAGAATTTGGGTTGGATGTGAAGTTCAGAGAAGAACACATGCATTCATGTAACTAAAGTTTTCTTTTATATAGCTTTAAAAGTTTGAACATAATTTTTCAGAAAGCCCTATTTTATCACTGTTCAGCCTACGTTGCTAATAAGATCCTTAAGCATGTTCATAATTTCTCTCTTCTTGCCATAGATTTTTAAAAATCGTTTTTGCCAGGAATGACATTTTTGTCTAACTTATCTAATTGTCTAAAGAAATATATAGCATACCTTGTAGTTTCCAGACATGTAATAAGAAAATACTGCTCTTTTTATCCATTTATTCAATCACTAACCATTTATTGTACCTATTACTTTTCAAGTAAGACCTAATAAAGAGGGTTATAAACTTAACTTATGGTCCGAGACTTTAGGGACCCAAACTTATATGAACTTAACAAATACTTATGATATAGCGAAAGAGTGCAATAAATGATTCCAGTAGGGGAGCTTCACTAAATATAGGGTTGGTGGGAGTGATGGTCAGGGAGGGCTTCATGGAGGAAGTCACATTTGGGGTTAGAAGTCCTGAGTTTCAAATGCTTGCTCTATGCTTTCTAACTAGGAAACACCATAGAACACAGCGGGTGGGGAAACAGATTGTATTGGACAGTTTTTACCAGCTTCATGAACTTACCAGCTTCATGACCTTTGGGCAAATTATTGAACCTCTCTTAAATGTAGTTTTAAGTGAGTAAAAATAGTTGCAAGGAATATAGGATTCCTCACCTGAAATCCTTTGCACAGTGCCTGGTATCCCACAACAAAAGCTGATACCCCATTCTAACTACTCTACTGTAGTTACAGTCATTTAATCTGTTTGGACCTCACTTGCTTATCTGGAAAATGAGAATGACCTTGCTTACTCTGCAAGGGTTGCTCATGAAGTCTGAATGTCATCATGATGTGTTTGAAGGCTGTTGGCAAACTACAAAGCTCTGTAAGAGTCATGTTATGCCTATTTCTAATGAGATTCACAGAACTCCAGGCCTGGTGGTTAATGGTGTTGCTCTAAGTATCATGCTGCCTGGGAGGCAGCCTTCAGACAGCTCAAGGAACTCTCTAATAGAAGCCTTAATTTTTGGCATTTCTTCCTGACTGTCTAGAGTCATTTGTCTGAAATAGTTACATCAATATAACATTTTTCAGTAACGAAGCTGGACATGTAGCTAACCAGTGTGTAGATAGATAGATTAGATAGATAGATAGATAGATAGATAGATAGATAGATAGATAGATAGATAGAGATATATATAGAGAGATAGATAGATACATACATACATATATACATACATACATACATACATACATACATAGAGGCATACTAACCAGTATATTTAGGAAAGGTTTATGATTTAGATTTTTTCTCAAATGGATGTTGACTCTAGTAAATGGATGTTGACTCTAGTAAACTAAGCTTTCATTTCCTCTTCTGCCGAAGAGTTGGAATTTTTAGATTTGGTTTTGCTTTGGCAATGTGCTACATAATAAAGATTAAAATGATTAAGACTAATGCAAATAATGCCAATACTTATGATCTACAGCTTGTAGCAGGTAACAGATATTCCCAAACCCCAAATGGAGAGAGATTTACTTATTGAACATCTGTTCTCTACACAAATAACTGGGTTTTTTTCTACCACATCTAGAATCACATAGAATCAGTAGTTTGTGGACTTTCTTTAGTAATTCCTGTGGCTTAAGGAAAACAAAAGTTGTAATGCTGTGTGGTTTTTTCTGGCCGGTAGAGAGAACTCTTGCTTAATTCCAGGTCAAGCAGTTAAATTCAATCAAATGCAGCCTACCCCCGTGTCTGAGGTGGAAATACCAGCAGGCTGGTGTTCATTTGCCTTTTTGGGTGAGCAGGAATGTTGCTTCCTTCCAGTTCTTTTGAGGGAGTCCAGGCTGGCCCTCATTGGTCATCCAGGCTGAATTGGGGAACAGGGGTGGAAATTTCTTCTAGGGCTTTGGAATGTTTATTTTAGTCATGTCTACACCATGGAAACCACTTAATACAGGGCTGAGATGCCAGTGTTTAGTAGAGAACTCAGTAAATGTTAACTATTGCGATCATAATCATCATCTCGTATTTCCCACTAGAAAAAAGTCTGTGTAAGCCACAAGCACACTACTTCTGGACCCCACTGTCTTGAGGAAGGCATTTCTGAAAGGCAGCCACGTCTTGCCTTAGCAATTGCTAGGTAGCACTGAAATCTTCAACTTAGTTTTATAAAGTGCATGTTGTACTGCTGTTGATCTAGACCCCAGGTGTCAGCAGGGTGTGAGACATAACAGAAATACCTTGGAAGATACTTTCTGCACTCAAGGAATTTAGTCTCATAGGAAAAAGAGAACCATCATACGTATGATATAAGGCAACCATTTAAGGCAGTTTATTTAAAAACAAAAACAAAAGAGAAAAAAACAGTTGAGCTCTGTGGACGACAAACTTTGAAGAGTGTAACATGTCAGAGCAGAGCTGAGTAACAGGGGAGCTTTGCAGACCTGAAGGGGGCCTGAAGAATGGGCTGACCTGCAGAGAGAGTGGCCAGACAACTATACAGGGAATATAAACAAGTGAAGCTTGCCGGATAGCTTGAGAGGCATGATATTATGAGAAAGCGAATTTTAAGAGTCATAAATGTCAGGAATGTGGTAAGATATTAGAAGTAACAAATACGCACATCTCTTTTCTTTTGTTTCTGAGTTTGATAACAGTTAAATTTTAAAGGGTCTTGTTTTTTGGAATGTGGTAAGATATTAGAAGTAACAAATACACACATCTCTTTTCTTTTGTTTCTGAGTTTGAAAACAGTTAAATTTTAAAGGGTCTTGTTTTTTTTTGTTTTTTTGTTTTTTGCATTTGGTTTTGTTTTTTGTTTTTTCCAATCTTCCTTCTGAGAGGCCTACTTCTCAAAGGAATTATTTTAAAGGGAAAAACACATATATAAAAGAGATCCCTTTATTCTTTCTTTTGTGTCTGTAAAACATAGATCCAGGATTAGCATATGCTGCATTGACAGTCTGCCTGTGAA